GAGGAGGAGGAGGAGGAGGAGGAGAAGGAGGACTTGAAGTTCTATTGGAGTGAACATTGCTTTCACTGAAGAATGTCCTCAGGGTCCGTGGGCATCTCTTTGCGTTGCTATGGTTGTTAGCTGCCATCTCTTGGTGACCCAGGGCACAGTGGCAAACAGTGCTTTTGGGTCCTGTGCTATCCCCTGATGGCTTTCAGATTGAACTGTTGGGATCCAATAGGGACTTCATTTGCCTGGTTATTGTTGTGTTCTTGTTGGGTGTGGTCGAGTCGGCTCTGACTTACAGTGACCCCGCAGATACATCAGAATCAGTGATGGTCTGCACCTGTGCCTTTCTCAAACTTGTTGGTCTGTTTGAGCCCATTGCTGCAGCCACTGCTTCAATCCATCTCATTAAGGGCCTTCCCTTGCTCCACTTTAGCAAGTACGATGTCCTTCTTCAAGGACTGGTCTCTCCTGATGACAAGCCCAAGTAAGAAAGCTGAAGTCTCACGCATCCCCGTTCCTCAGGAGTGTTCTCGCTGTTCCTTCATCACAGTGTAATTCACTCTTCTGACAGCCCATGGAATACTCAATATTCTTCACCAACACCATAATTCAAATTCGTCATTTCTCTGGTTTTCCTTATTCATTACCCAACGACGGGACACCGAGGAGGTGACTGGAAATGCCATGGCTTGGATCAGAGGTATTCTGGTCCTCCAAGTCTCATCTTTGCTCTTGAACACTTTCAAGAGGTATTGTTGTAGCAGTATTTGCCCAATGTAATTTGATTTCTTTACTACTGCTTTCATGGGCATTGATTGCGTCCAAAGCAAACAAAATCTTTGATAAAGTCAATATGTTCTCCATTTATAATGTTGCTGTTTTACTGGTCTCGTGAGGACCGAAATTTCAACCCCAACAGATGGACAAAAAGGCAACTAATCTTATACTCTCACAAAGCCCCTGTAGATCTTCACTGGTTGAGTTCTGGCTATTTTCAAAACCCACTATAAGCTACTCTGCTGGTCTGATAGGCCTTGGGCTGAGAGAATATGCTGCAAGCGTGTCACCTCACCCTCCAGACAGTACACTTCACATTTCAGATGCCTGCAAGATGCGCAAGTTGTGGCTGGAGAGAAGTTCACTCACAGAGCACATGAGCAGGTTGCTCATCCAACACTCTTCCTTCCTCCTTCTTGACTAGCAGTTGGTGTTATGGAGTGAACTGGATCTCCTCAAAGTGTACATTACAAATCCTAACCTCTATATCCATAGGAGGCCTGGGCTCCTATAGTTACACATTGAGCTGCAATCCGAAAGGCCCTAGGTTTGCAGCCACCATCTACACCATGGGAGAGCACCGGGGCTTTCTACTCCCGTGAACAGTTACAGTCTCAGAGACTCACAGGGACAGTTCTCCCTGTCTTAGAAGGTCGCTCTGAGTCAGCACTGACTCCATGGCAGTGAGTTTGAGTGTTTGAGTCTATGCCCATAGGGCAGGGCAGCGTTTCCTTCTGCCGTATCCAGGGTCAACGTGAGCCTGAATCAGCGCAACAGCACCTGACAATATGCTTGTGGTTGTGATTCCATTTGGGAATGGTTTTCTTCATTATATTAATATCCGTGTAGGAGGTATCTGAAGTCAATTTCTCCCCATCGCCCCTTAGATCAATTTCTTGGGAGATATAAAAAAAGACAGACTAAGCAAGCAACCAAGCAAGCAGGATGGGGGAAGATAGATGCCAGTCCATGAGATCTCCAAGGATTCAGAAGTTGCAAAGAGTTGAGGACCTTACACCATAGCCAACAGAGAGTGAAAGCCTTCCTCTGGAGGTGGCGACCTGAATTCAGCCTTCTTGCTTCCTAAACAGTGAGAAAATAAATGTCTGTTTATTAAAGCCACCCAACTTAGGGCTTTTCCCCCATAACAGCACCAGGTAGAGACGACAGAGGGCAATTTGCCCAGTAGGTCGTCTGTGTGCTTGTTTGTTTCCTGCATTTCCCTGTGAGGGACGGCGACGTGACTCAGATGCAGTGAACGAGTTGAAGGGGAAGTTCATGGGCTGGGCTCCCAGGGCCACCCTCTGAAAGGGAGCCGAGTTGCGGCATTGCTCGTTCCCATTTGCCCTTTCCATCTTCCCGCCTGAAACGTGGGTGCCACACTGTGGTAGGGACAGCCATCTTGTGGTAAACACACAGTAGGGATCACTGACCCCCCAAATGGAAGACTTCTGGTCCCTTGAAGGCACTATCTCAGTCATGAAATGTTCTTCCAGACCTCTTGGTAGGTGAGAAATATTAAAAAGCCATCTTAACTTGTTTGTTAGAGTTATCTGGCCAAATGCCATCTCTAACTGAATATACCTCTCAGCTGTTTTTAGTGGCATTCAGTCGGTGGACCAGGAAGACATTCCATGTAGGAAAGTTTGGTCAGTGAGGTTACGAACCAACTAGATTATGGACTATTTTCAGATGGTCCCAGAATAGTTTTACATTTTATGTTTTCCCCAACAGTTTAATTGGCACATAATTCATATATCACACCATTGAACAGTTCAGTTGTTTAATCACATCAAAGGGAGTTGTACAATCGCCACCACATGTATCTTACAGTCCCCCTCTCCCCCCATGGTTATATCACCTCTAAACTGTGTTGTGCAATCACGGATCAGTTCTAGTGTTCCACTAACCCCTCTCAGCCTTCATTGTTTACTCCCGAAGTCCCCTTTCCCTCCCTGTCACCCACCCCACACCCCTGTATTCCTTATAGCACCTTGTCTCAGATAGTATCTTTATACCTCCACTCCTCCTGTGCTTCACAACTGGGAAACCAAACAGAAGACAATGAAAGACAAATTGTACTAAGGTTGTAAGGATACAATCGTATTAGTATAAAGACAAAATTACAAATAATGTGTGAGGGAGACTACACCCATCAACATTCAAAAATCCAGGGAAGAAATTTCTGTCATGGGACAACTAAGGGATACTTGCACCCAGTCCTACTAATTCGGGTCATGGCTATAGGGAAGACAACTGGCCTGGTACCGAGTTCAATCCAACAAAATCAAAATTACAATGTTCTCTGCCTGATAGTAAGGCTGTTCAGAACGCTTGCCTGTGGCTAGAGTGGATCTGCCAGCGGCTCGGTCTGACTAAATACTCTGCAGATAGGTTTTGGGGTCCCACTGTCCTCCATAGCCTTCTGCAAACGGGATGTTTGTAATTTTAGCTCTGATACTTTTCTCTTCACCATATTCAATTTTGTAATTGTCGTCTTTGGATCACACAAGTTGGTGTGCTCCTTCGGTATGGACTTTGTTGGCTCCTTGCTTAGATGGCTGCTTGTTTGAATACAAGCCTTTAAGACCCCAGACACTATTGCAATTGATAGCTGAGCACCATCTGCTTTCTTCACCACACTTTGCTCTAGCACCCTTATCTTCAGTGATCATTTCATGAAGGTGAGTATAGAGCAGGGCCATGATATAAAAACTAAATGTTCTTAAGTTGGAGTTAGGATGTAGCTTGAGCCTAGAACTCATTCCTGGATCTATACTTTTAAAAAAAATTTGCTGTAACTTGGAAATGAATACATCCTTCATCTCATTTCATAGTTCAATCATGTCAAACATAATTGTATAATTTCTAATGGTTGGAAAAGAAAATGGGAAGAATTTTCCTGACACATGAAAATCATGAGATTTGCAGTGCAATCATAGGATCTCCGTGTCCATAGAGAAAGTGTTATTGGATCTACTCCTTCATTCATTGACATATCATCTCTGGTGGCTTTTGCCCAACAATGGCACACTTGAGTAGCCGTGACAGAGCCCATAGGGCTAAAATATGTGCTATCTGGCTCTTTACAGGAAAAATGTATCTACCTCTGGATGAAACAATGCTGAGCTGTGAGTCAGAACCCTCTTTGTGAGAGTGAGATTGGGTTTTTTTGGTACCTAGCTAATGTCTGAGCATCAAGACCTGAGAAAACCCAGTATCCATCTTGATATTGTCTACTTTTTGGAATCAATACTGCAGAATCAGAACCTAAATCAGTGACCACTCCAATCAGGGGGGCATTTGGCAATGTGTTCTCAGCAGGGGCATTTAGTGAGCAAGGGGCTAAGGATGCTTAACACCCCAGCAATGCATGGGGTAGTCCTACACAATGGCAGTTTTTCTGCCCCAAACATCAATAGCAAACTCATTGAGAAAAGGGATCCAGAGAGTTAGCTAGATTAGACAAATGGGCCTGAGAGTACTTTCAGTTTCTCTGCTCTGGGTGAGGTCCTGAATGGTGCAAATAGCTGTGTTCAATTTCTAGTCTAAAGGTTGGCTGTTTGAACCCACTGAGCAGCGTAGATGAAGAAAACCCTGGTGACCTACTTAGCTTAAAATTATGATCAAGAATATACTATGTAACTATAACACATGGGGTCCACACAAATCAGAATCAACTCAGTGACAATGAGTTTGTGTGTGTGTGTGTGTGTTATTCCTATGTCTTGCAAATTTCATCTTTTTGGTCTAAAGCCTTTCACAATCCCGTACTTTGGATTTTAATTCAACAAAGGTGTGTTGAACTCCAGTCGCACATTTAACAGAAACAATTAGAGCGTGGTGTGAAGATATGACATGGACTCCTTTGTTATGTACCTGCCAGTTGTTCATTCCACATCCGCCTCATATTCCTGACTCTCCTTCCTAGGTGAATAGAGACCAATCTATGGGCTTCTCATGGCCACTTGCAAGCCTCTAAGACCACCCCCAGTCACTACGCAATGACACAGGAGGTAAAGCCCACCAGACCAAACTCACTGCCATCAAGTTGCTTTCAACGATGGCAACCTTATTTAGGGGTTCCAAGGCTGTAAGTCTTTACTGGAGTGTTTGCTTTGGTAGCACATATGATAAAATCGGGATGATTCCAAGATGATTACCATGGCCTCTACACACAGGTGATATGCATATTCATGAAGTGTTTCATATGGTAAAAACAGCAACTTTATTAGAGCAGATAGTCTCATCTTTCTTTCTTAGAGTGCTTGATGAATTTGAACTATCAACTTTGCAGTTATTTGGACAACGCCTAACACACAGTGCCACCAAGGTTCCTTAAGAGGTAGAATAGAAGCACTAAACATGTTGTTCAGCCATTGAGCTGGGATGTCCCATGAAATCATAACCCCAACCTCTCAAACCAAGGAACCAAATCTCATGAGGTGTCTGGTTGTACGCAATCAACCTCAGCAGCTTCTCTCTCTCTCTTCCTCTCTCTGGTGGTGGCCAGCTTGGTTTTCCTTGGCTTTTGACAATATCACAACATCTGCCTCTGTCTTGCCTGGCTGTCTTTCTTCTGCGTGCGCAAATTTCTCTCCTCTTATTGAGACACCAGTCATTGGATACTAATGTATCCTACTCTAGAATGACCTTAACTTTAACTGATTACATCAGAAAAGACTCTGTGATGATTAGATTTTATGTCAGCGGGACACATCTAGGTGAAGGTAGGGGTGGAATCCAACCTATCAATCAGGTTGCAGCCTGGTGACACCTCCTTGGGGGTGTGGGCTTTTGTATAAGAGACAGACAGGGCAGAACTGAGCTCTCTCTTGCTCCTTTGCCTTCTGCTGGATCTGGATTCTGTCTGGTTTGTGGATCTCCTTTTGTGTCCCCTGCTGATCCCAGGAGTAATCAGTGAACTGCCCACCTTCGATCCATCAAACTGACTTCAGATTCATTCAGCTCTGTATCCACCAGCCTGTGATACCACCCCTCATGCCTCCCACTTCATCTTCCTGCTTCCTATTTGTCAGTTCCTGCAGCGACATGGGTCAGGAGGAGCCTCTAACTTACATCTGACCTACAGACTTGAATCACACTGGATTTACTGACTTCTGTAACTGTGTGAGTCATTTCTTGATATAAATCTCTTTCTAGGTATATACACCTACAAGCATCACTACTTTTGGTTCTCTAGAGAACCCAACTGAACATAGACCCTAATCCAAACATGGGCACATTCACAGGTTCTAAAACTCAGCCTTGAACATATCTTTTTTGGGGAGACACAATTCACCTACAACCTAGTGAGGGGGTCATTTCTACCATGCCTTACCCATCTGGTGGGAGGAAGCCAACCTGGCTCTTCCCAAGGGCCTCCCTCCAGCTCTCCATGGGGCAGGCGTTCAGAGGGTCAGGCATCGGAGCTGAGCGGCTGCTCACTTCAATTTGTGAGCTGCGCTGAGTGGGCAGCCTGTAATGGCAGTGGCTTGGGGGGATGCCAGGCTTTCTGGAAGGGTTGTCATTTCAGAGAGGAAGAAAAAATGTCTTTTTCTTCTTCTTCTTTTTTTTTTAATAGGTGCTGACTATCCATGATTGAAGGACTTGGCTCTGCTCACAAAATATCTGAAAGTGCAGGAGTTTTGTAAGGATTGGCTTCTTCTTAAACCACTGGGACTTCCAGTGGGCTCCTGGTGGGGTCTGAGCTGCCCACAGGGAGGTGCCTGGGTAGCTGGGAAGTGTCACAAGGGTGTCACCTGGATTCTAGGTGCCCACTGAAGACAGAGGGGAGGCAGGGTAAGGTTAGGAATGAGTCAGAGCATTTACCAGCGTGACCTCCTGGAGAGCCAGTGAGCATAGAAACTAAGCTCAAGTCACATAGACCTCAGCGTTGGAATGCTCCCACCACAGAAACATAGATTTTTCAGAGAATTCCATATAGATGGTCTGGAAATGTTTTTCGCCATGTAAATATCTTTCACACCCTGAGGCTGCAGCTGTGCCAGCAGATGCTTAGGACAGTGGAGTGGGGCCTGAAGCCCATTGCTGCTGCTGGGGTGGGGGTGGGGGAGGGCAGTAGCGGGGGCTGGCAGGCTGCTGGAGATACAGAGTATGCCGGCCACTGGGGGCCAAGAGATAAGGTCTCAGGGCTACACTTACCATCCCAGCTGCCTGCCTCTCGCTTCTCAGGGAAAAAGGCCAACATTGTGGGAATTTCCCACCAACTATCACCCTGCCGCTGCTGTTAGTTGGTGTTCGGTTGGCGCTGACTCAGATGAGCCCAGGCCCCACCCAACAAAGCTTGTCCATCCCTGTGCCGTCTCCACAGTTGTTGATCTCCGTTATCTTTTGAGACCCTTCTCACTGAGGAGGCTCCTGTTCCAGCATGATCCATCCCACTTTCCCCGAGCGGTGTCCAAGTCGTTGGAGGCTGTCGACGTTTTTTCCAGAGCAGCCAGCATCATCAAACAGTATCCCATTGTGATCCATTCCTTGGTTCATGGAGGCGAGATGCCAGGCCTTTCTTCTTAGTCTCTCTTAGCCTGGAAGCTCAACTGAAACCTGTCCACCCTGGGGGACCCTGCTAGTTTGGAATAAGAGTGTCATATCTTCTAGCATCATAACACCAATATGTGAGTCTCTGCAGTCAGGGAAACTGACATGGTGGGTGGTCGAAATATCACCTTCAAAGAATATTAGATGTATTACCAGAAAGGTCCAAAGGCTGATATGAAGCCCATATGCTTTAGAGTTTCTGATCAATGGCAATGTGTAAGCCAAAATCTTCCCATCAGGCCATTCTTAACTGAAGTGTCTGCCCTGACATTACCAACAGAGGCAGACATCTCCAAGCAGAAAGGTTGGGCACCTCGCTGTGGAATAAAATATTCCTAAAGTGAGATAGTCGCAGGCTCCCTGGCACCTAGACTCATCAGGAAACCAATGTTCTTTTCATATCCAAAATAGTCAAGGCAGACACACCCCACCCTCGGCTGGCCTGGCCCTTCTTCCCCCAATTCAACACCCCACTTCATGCGAGAACACACATAATTACTGCGGTAGACACGGAGCCTGTTTGGAAAGAAAATGAATCTGAATTACAGAGGAGTGGCTCGGACCCAAACTGCAGATCCTGAATTGGCACAAACAACCTTCCTTGTCCTCATGTATTTAAATCTGGGAGCCACTGGAAGCTCCCCAGGACAGGCTGGGGCTTTGCTGACAGAGCAGCCCACCAGAACCCCTCCCGCCCAGTGTAGCAGCCCCCATCCAGCGGCCTGTTCCACCGCCCTCACATGAACAAGGCTGACGGGTGATATATGGCTCCCTCCTGGGAACAGGATGCAGATGCGCAGGGGAGGGTAACCTGAGACCACCGCCAGAAGATGCTGCTGTCCCCGGAGAGCCACATATAACTGGGAACCCACAGTTGTGAAACGGAAGGCAAGGACTGACGTTTCTTTCTTTTCCAAACTCTGGCCTTGGGTACTCAAGGTGAGGTTGAGAGCAAGGTTGCTTTTGCTCCTAGATGACTTGCTTCACGTCATCATCTGGGTGCCCGAGAAACCGCGTGGGCCCGGCTCAGTGGTTAGCTCATGAGCTGTCAGGACCTTTGCCCCGAGTGCCTTGCTATGAGCCAGCTGAACAATTGTGGCCTTTTCTGGGAGCATGGCGAATAGTGGAGACAGGGGGAGATGAGACGGGACCCACAGAGGCAGGCCACATCCATGTCACTGCAGAGCTTAGACTTGAGACCCACCAGGATGCCCAGCACATGCCTGCTCTGCCCCTCTTGCAGCCCCAGTTCTGTCCAGTGGCACTTGGTTTCTGAGAGTGTCCCCCTCCCTCTGTTTCCACCCCTTCTGCCCCTGAGACCATACTAGACTGCATGCACCCAGGACACCCCCCCAGACACAGAGCTAGTGTCCGGGCCACACTTTGGGTTCCTTTTCTTTGAATTGCCTTTGTCCAGAGCAAATCAAAACCAACCCACCAACCAACCCCAAAACTCTTTCCCATCAAGTCCATTCAGACTTGGGGCAGCCCCACATGTTACAGAGTAGCACAGCTCCCTATGCAACTGCTTATTAGAGACGCAGATTGCCAGGTCTTTCTTCCTTGGTACCACCGGAAGGGTTGGAACCAGCCATCTTTAGCTCAGCCAACAAAGGCCTTCCAACAATAGGTGGGTTTCCTTCCCTCTGGCTCTGTTGTCCCAGGTTTCCCCAAGCATCAATCCACAGCCTCTGGAAGCTTCATCCAGATTGGATGTACAGCAGTGTTGTGTGTGCATGTGTGGGATGAAAGGAACATGTGCTGTACAGCTGATCTGGGCTCACCTTGGCTTCCACAGACAAGGGGTTGCATGCAGATTCAAATGATAATTATCCTCAGAATACTCCAGGGAGCTTCCTGGTGTAGGGAGAACATTGATGCACACCGTTCTAAATTGCTAGGGGCTGTGGACCTCTCTGTCCCTGCCCTGCCTGCTCTGGGACACTGCAATCTGAGGGGTCCTGGGACATTTGTTCAGGACAGTGGAGAGTACCATGATTGGCTCTGGCCTCCTCCCTTGCCCCGTCCTGAGTGTCATTTTCAAATACACATCGGAAGACCTGTGCCCTGACTACCAGGACCTGATGACTCTCAAGAAACCTTCTTGTGGACTCATTCCCTGCAGCAGGCTGCACGCATCTGCCTCTGAGTCTGGCCTGTTCCAGGGCAATGAGGAAGGAATTCACGGTGTGAACCACGGCCCCTGCCCACACCACGTAACCATCCCAGAGGGGCGTGGTTATTGTGGGATTCTAGTCCCAGAACCTGTTGGATCTGAGTCCAGTAGGTTGATTGCTGCCACTCGGGATTCTAAGGCTATATCAGAGAGAGCCCCTGGTCACATTCCAGATGGATGTGTGGGCACTCAGGAGTGGACCCTGAGGATGTCTAGTGTTCTCCAGCACAGGGCCATGGGAGTCAGGGTGGTGTGAGTTCAGGATGCACCTTTCTCCTCTGCTCCCTAGGGACATGGCACATAGCTTCAAGGACCCTTCCGTTTTGGCCCCCACTGGACCGCTGGTCAGCCGTGACTGTGTCCTTGGCATGCCGGGCCCTTTGGGAGTCTTCTCCATGTCCTGCAGTTGGTGGCAGCTTCTGTGGGGACCCGGGTAGAACTGAGGCAGGCCCTGCTCCCATGCTTAAGTGCTCTGTGAA